TGCCACATCATTTTAGCTTTAGTGAGTGATATTGATTTCTGGACAAATACATTTTTAAAAATGTCTTTCGAGTCTGTGTTTAAATATTAAAATACACAACTTCTTTGCAATTTAAATACTTGTCTAAAATTAAAATAAAAATCAGAAAAATATAAATATTTAAAATACAATCATAAATATTTGTTCGACACCACATAGATAATAACTTAATAAAGTAGTGTCCAAAGAGTATAATAAGTATACTATAGAAAGAGGGGCAACTCGCACGAAGTCGTGGATCCACGGCGATTGTGGCGCTCCATGCGTATAATCGCTGAACTAATTTTTTTTTTTTTGGTACCTATATACGTAGGCACGCTTATTTAGCTCACTATAATAATAAATAATAAGTGGGAATCTAATAAATAAAGTTAAAATTGACATTAAATCAATGTTCAAAAATAATATACCCACTTATGTAGTTATTAATATAGTGAGCCGATATCAAGTAGCCTTCTATGAAATACCTCTATTAAAATGATCCTATTATTATTGGGGAAATAAAAACAAAATATTTTTATATTTTTGTACATTATTTATTATATTTCTACAAAACTTAATTTTAAATCTATGCAAGTAAATATACATCAAAGACTTTCAAGATATCAGCTCAATATTTTAATTTTTAATATATATATTTGAAAATTACATGTTAATGTAATAAATAGTATAGCGCGGTCACAAAAAAATGCATACCCTGTAATTAAAACCAAACCCCAAAATATTTTCAGTCACATGCAAGCTGGCAACTGGCAATTTGTAGTTATTTGCGAGTTTAAACACTCTGAACATATTCTCTTACAACATAGGCAAGCAGATTTTTCTTTACAATAAAAAATTACAAATAAAAAAATATATTTTTTACATATACACACATGGACCCACCTACTAATTTCAGACACATCAGTTTATGGCTCTATAATTCCAGTGATTGGCACACATTTTCTGAACTTCACTGACCTTCTCTCAGGAAGGGGGAAACCGTGTATATGTGCACCTACAACAAACAAACAGAATGTGATTTCCTGTCAAGTATAGGAACTGATATGTAAAATGTATTAGAAGTAGGGCACCATTCAATATGATAACCGGAAAGTATAAATCACTGTGATGCTAAAAACTACACCAAAATACGAAAATATTTAAATGTTTAAATGAGTCTGACGTATGGGAATAACATGATATTTTTTATTGAATTGTAACTTACCATAATCAGTCCATCTAAAACACAGTTGCGTACAGCGTCATTTTTCACGAAAACACATTTTAATTAAAAACAAAATGAATGAAACAACATTTAACTATGAATACAAGAACAGAAATAGAAATACGAAAAAACGTAGCGGTTTGATGACACATGAATGTCTCGATGACAGAAATGATGCTTCTTCTCAGCCATGAGATGAAATGATGTTTACCATTATATAAAAGGTGGCGCCACTTTCCATACAAACCGTCCTTCTTCTAAGTTTCCACCCCCTGCATGAAATTCAATTTCAAAATACAAAATTATGTATGAACATTATTTAATTTTAAACGATAACTTGCTTCAATTTGGAAGTAAGGAAGGCAATAGCGTATTTAT